TGTGAGAATATCTGGTGCTAACTCATTTATCTGTTTGCACTTGTTTACTTTACTATAAATTACTAAAAAAATGAGACTGATTAAACTAAGATTTTTAATACAATTTATTTTGAATAAATAACCATCCTACTTCAGTTATAAATATACCATCTTATCCCCGCCCTAATGAAAGTCACTGAGTAGCTTTCATTGAACTTTAGACCAGGCATATAACATTTCCATTCTATGAAAGACATCTGCCTTGTACAATAAACTACAAGCATTTGTAGTCCATGAAATGATTGTCAGATTTCAAAAGGACCCATGTAAAAGAACAAAAATAAACATACATTTTAACAGCCTTTTAAAAGGCCCAAGAAATAAATCTTGTACTCTCCAACTTTCTTGTGTCATGTTAAAACAAATGGGGATAATGCCACGAGGGACAGTGGCAAGGGGATTTGAATAAGAGAAAGCAGAATAGAGATGAGTTCTCTTCTTCCAACAGGTCACAAAGGCTATGTCTAGACTGCAAGCCTCTTTCAAAAGATGCTCTTTCGAAAGATACTTTTGAAAGAGCCTCTTTTGAAAGAGCGCATCTAGACTGCACGCAGAATTTCGAAAAAGCGGCTTGCTTTTTCGAAAGAAAGCACCCAGTGAGTCTGGATGCTCTCTTTCTAAAAAGCCTGTTTGCGGCTTTTCTTTCGACGGTGGTAAACCTAATTCCATGAGGAAGAACGCCTTCTTTCGAAAGAGCACTTTCGAAAGAAGGCGTTCTTCCTCATGGAATTAGGTTTACCACCGTCGAAAGAAAAGCCGCAAACAGGCTTTTTAGAAAGAGAGCATCCAGACTCACTGGGTGCTTTCTTTCGAAAAAGCAAGCCGCTTTTTCGAAATTCTGCGTGCAGTCGACAAATGCCGAACCCCACCAGCTAGCCAGATTTTATTAAAATATATAGTACTTACAGGTTTAACTGAACTTTTCCAACAAAAATGGATAGCATCTCCTCATGCTATGCAATGGCAGCTTCAAAAGACATTGTGCCCGAAGGAAACAGAATCCTACTGAACATTCTGAGAAGTGGTACAATGTCTACAGGAGCAAGTAGAACAGAGAAGGGGTTGGCCCCCTGGATTTTCTGCCTATCCTTGAACTGACAGAAACCTCAGGCTTTTCACTTTCTAAAGAAATCCTAGACCTGGTTTTGGATCATTAGACTAGTAGAACTCACTCTTACCCATAATCAAAGGACACTGTTTTGGTTTTACCTAAATTTCAGTAACTTTGTAGCCTATAGCATTTACTTTTCATTAGAATTTAAATTGTTAAAAGCTCAAACAGATTCCTACTTCTAATGAAACAAAATATTTAAAAGGTCCATGCTAGCCTTAGGAATATACAGTCTTCTTAATGGCAAGACATAATTTTATGTTTTTGCTGCCAAGAAAAAAAGATCAGCTAAGCAAGTCTATATTTAATTGCAAATGACCATAAATATGAACAGCCATAGGGCCTGCACAAACATTGATAGGTTTAATTAGATCTGGCTTCATAAAGGAGCTTTAAACTTCCATTATTTTCCTCCATAAACATCTGCTTCATTATTTCCTCCTTCCCCTCTCCCCATCATATAATAGATGTTTCTCTACAATGAAGAACTATACAGAAAAAAAGCTGATCAGTTACCAGCTAACCCTGAAAAACAGGCTCTAAGGGTACGTCTAGACTACATGCCTCTGGCGATAGAGGCATGTAGATTAGGCTACCCGGCATAGGAAAATGAAGCAGCGATTTAAATAATCGATGCTTCATTTAAATTTAAATGGCTGCCGCACTGAGCCAATCAGCTGTTGGCCGGCTCAGCACGGTAGTCTGGACACTCTGGTCGACATCAAAGGCATTTGTCGATCTCCCAGGTAAACCTCATCCCAGGAGGCATACCTGGGAGGTCAACTGTGGAGCGTCCAGACTACCGTGCTGAGCTGACAAACAGCTGATCGGCTCAGCGCGGCAGCCATTTAAATTTAAATGAAGCGGCAATTATTTAAATCGCCGCTTCATTTTCCTATACTGGGTAGCCTAATCTACATGCCTCTGTTGCCAGAGGCATGTAATCTAGACGTACCCTAAGTGTTACATACAATGCGAGTATCATATATATAGTAGCCCAATGTTTATGAGTCTGTACTGCTGACATACATGGCCCCACCCCCTGGCCATGTATGTCAGCGTCCCATCCCCTTCCCCTCCCTCCGTGGCAGCTCGGCTGACTGTTGCGCCGCTCAGCTGGGCTGCGGCAGGGGAGCAAGTGGCGACAAGTGGCTGTTTGGGCTCCCCCGCGGCAGGAAGGGAAGGGGGGCGGGGCGGTGACATACATGGCCCTGCCCCCTGGCCGTGTATGTCACTGCCCCACTCCTCCTCCCCCGCGACAGCACTCATCTGAGAGCCATGGCGGGAGGGGTAGGAGGAGAGGGTGGGGACAGACGGAGGGGGAAGAGAGGCAGGAGGAGGAGAAGAGAAAGGGAGAGTGAGAGGCAGGAGGGGGAGAAGAGAAAGAAAGAGACGGAAAGAGAGGCAGAAGGCGAGAAAGGTAGGAGGTGGAGGAGAGCTGAGAGAAAGACGGGGAGGCAGTAGGAGGAGAGAGAGAGAGACCGGAGGCTCAGGAGAGAAGACCAACGTGGAAGAGAGACCTGAAAATCCCGTCTTATGATGGCCAAATTGTCTAGTTTATTTAAGAAAAGGTAAGCCAACCATTTCACAAAGAAACTGAAAATATCACTGTCTAGTGGACATTCCCTTAGTCATCATGCCAATTATTATGGAAATTTACTAAAGAGATTCAGTCAGGAATCACATTAGAAAATACCTTATTTGAACTTTAATACTTGATAATGCTTAACCCTTGTTCAAGTCTTCTCATCTTCAAAGCACTATACAAACATTGTTATGTGTGTGCTGAATCAGTCTATTGACTATAATCTGTCTTTTTTCCTCATTATCAAAGTATACATTTTCAGTTCTGATATCAAAGTAAAGACTCCATTATTGTCAGTATAAGCCACACCATTCATTATTTATTTCTTAGCAGTGTCTCAGTTTAACGTCAGAAGGGACCATTAGATCAACTAGTCTGACCTGTGTATCACAGTCCATTAAATTTCACCCACATATTCCTATGTTAAGCCCAAAGACTTTAAAATAAAACATTTCAGTCCTCAGAAAAGTGAACAGTGCACCATGGATAGAAAACCAGAAACCAAGTTGGCACCGATGTTCAGGAGCCTATAATGTGGGAGAAATGATTAGGTGAGCCCAGCACACGCACCCTACCACAGGCCACAAAGGGCAGCAAAAAACCACCACCCTAAAGATCCCTTTAATTCTGACCTGAGGGAAAAATTCTTTCCCAACCAAGAATCCAGAGATAAATATGCCCCTGAGCTTGTGAGCAAGACACCAGCCAGGCAAATAGGAAGGATTCTCAGTATCAGCTCAGAGCAGTGGTTCACCTCCAGCAGCAGCCTTGCTCTGAAGCATCAGAGATTGGTAGCTAACCACCACCTGCCACCTAACAAACTCCAGACAATACAGATCTAGTGAACTGTGCTTCGGCAGGGGGCCGCCCCCCCCCGAAACCATGAAGCCAG